GATATCCGTTAAATAAATAAAAGAGCCATGCATGCGTTTACAAAGGGCCTGCAACGTGCCAGGCACCCGCTTGGAGTCCTGTCTGCCATCATTCCTCTTCCCTCTGCCCCACCCAGCCCGCCTCACGTCGGTCCCCTCGTCTGCGTTCTTTTGTGTTTTCTGTTCCCACATTCAGTCTCCTCGTTAGGTCTGAGCCCACTGGCAAAGTCTGTCTCCGAGCCACGTTAGCTCTGGAAAAGCACAGAGGGACAAAGAAGACTGGAAGAAACAATGATGGGGTGGTTTAGACAAAGGGAAGAAATGGGAAAATGAGAAGGGGAAAATGTCACACATCAGGGGTTTAGTGCTTCCACTCTGAGGGCAGTCCCCTAAGCCACAGAAATCTTCTGTAAATGTTGTCATTGGGAAGAGAACACATGGGATACTATTGCTTGATCACTAGGAACAGTCCGCAGTATTAAACGCTAGAAAAACATATCCCGTGCTGTGATTACAAACTCCCAAAGACACCTAAATAGGTAGAGTGTGTGTGTGTGCGTGTGTGTGCACGCGTGTGTGTGCGCACATGTGTGTGTGTGTGTGTCTGCGTGCCTGCCTGTCTGTGTGGCAAAGCAACATTATGGTGCAGTTTGGCGTCTCCACACAGGGGCTGGGTGGCTGGAGCCCCAGGACCACCATGCTGCCTGCACAGAGGCATTCTTTGCCCCATGTGGGTCTGCTGCCTGTGTGTTTCTCATCTCTGGTTTGCAATTTAAGGTTCACTAACTCTTCCGTCTTCAGAAGCATTTGCCCGCGGTACATTTAAATTAAGTTTCAATCAACTCAAAGCAATCCAAGTTGGCCCGAAGGAATGCATTGTGCTCTTCACTGAATTGATCAAACAATGAAGACCACAAACACATCCACTCTCCTGTGCAAAGATTCTTCTGGCTCAGTTGACATAACCTATGTAAACCCTTTAAATTATCCTTAAAATATGATAACTATCAAATACCATGGGTTTATACATTGCAGTCTACCCATATACTTTGTGATGTTGACACACCAATGGTTTTGGATTCTTGCATAACAAATTACAGTCAAGTACAGTTGTTCAATCTTCACATGTTAAGGATAAAAGAGAGAAAGGGAATCTCTCATCAATTTATTTTGTCATCTGAATATCACTGCTGTTTATTGAAGAAGTTACACTGACGAAAATTGGTGAAAGGATACTATAAATTCCCACCCATTCCACAAATACTTTAAAGTACTGTCCCCCAAGCAGCAAGCTTTAATGCAAAGAGAAATAGAGACAGTGTAATTGTGTGTGTGTGTCTGTGTGTGTGTGTGTAAGTTCACATGTATTTGTGGGCTTGGGTAAGTGTGAGTTTGCACGCATGTGTATGAGCGCATGTAGAAGCCAGAGGTAGATGTCTTCCTCGGTTGTTTTCTACTGTTTGTCTGTCTGTCTGTCTGTTTGTTTGTCTGTTTGTTTGTTGAGATAGTGACTTTCCTAAACCCAGAGCTCACCAATTTTTGTAGACAGGCTAGCTAACAAACTCCAAACATCCATCTGTCTCCACCTCCCTGGAGCTGGGGTCAGGCTCATAGAGCCATGGCCAGCTTTAAGTGCCACAGATTGGAACCTAGTTCCTCATGTTTGCCTAGCAAGCACTTTACTGACTGAGTGATCTCCCCGTGCCCCGTATTTGATCTCCTTTACAGCCTTTTCAAAATAAGTCATTCAAAGGTACACAACAACACGATGGCTCTAAGGGAAGACAGAATGGGCATCTCTAGCCCCAAATCCCAAATCCAAAACTTTCTGGGTACCAACCGGACACTTCCATACCTGACTTCATGGAAACAGTCCAGTCAAAATGCAAGCACACTAAAAATATCGTGTAAAATTACCTTCGTGTTATAGATAAAGCATATACACAAATGACCTTCATGTTTGAACGTGGGTGCCACCCTTAACAAGTATCATTATATAGAAACACATATTCAAATAAAATCAAAGTCCCAAATACTCGTTTGTCTCCAAACATAGTGAATACACACTGTAGTAGAAAATAAATCTACATTACTTAAAAAAATAATGCATTCACAGGGAAAGAAGAAAATCGTGTAACATATAAATGAGTTTACTTGACTTGATGCAAAACTAACTAACTCTATAGCTAAGAACTCTTGATGCTCTTCCAGAGAAACTGGGTTCCCACACATTGGGCTACTTACAACTAACTACCTTGTAACCCAAGAGTATCTGACACTCTCTCCTGGACTCCTTGAGCACTGAATTCCCCACCCTTGTGTGTGTGTGTGTGTGTGTGTGTGTGTGTGTGTGTACATATATACATATATATCACTATAAAATAAAATAAGCACATAAATAAAAGCAATAGTTTTAAACAAATAAAAGCGTTCATTTCATAAATGCTACACTTTGAATGGTCTGCTCAGCTGCCCAGGCTCTGCTTCAGCAACACAGTAATTCCTGGAAGGAGTTGTGATTGGAGTTTTTAGCACTGGTCAGAAAAGCACCAGAAAGGACAGTGGTGATGAACTGTCTAGATTCAGTGTCACCTACAGCCTCTTCCTCCGAGCCAGAAGGAAAAATCTAACCCAGAGCCAGAGGTGTATGTCACAGGCACCATGAGACGAACATAGTATAGCCGCTTCCTCCAGGTCCAATCACAACTGTGCAGCCCTAACTCCCGACCCACAAGTAGCCAATGACCCCTCTTTCTGGACCTGCAGGAAGCAATACACACATGCAGACACATGTCCTTGCCTCCCTGGCCTGGAGAAGCCAGAAGTCATGATCCAAATGTTCACTATCCAGATAGTTTCTTTCTAGGGCTTCTTGGGAACCTTGAGCCCCCAGAAAAGGAGGCTTCTGGGGGTGCCCCCTTTTAAGAAAAGGCATTCTTCCCCTTGTCAAGATATCCTCATAAAACCTTAGAGCACACGCCAGCAGGCTCTGTTGATTGGTACTTTGTGTGGGGGGTGAGTGGACATGTGTACCAGTACATGTGTGTGCTGTGTATACCAGTACATGTGCATATGAAGACCACAGGCCAACCCTGAATGTCATTCCTCAGAAGCCCTCCACCTTGTTTTTTGAGACAGGGTCTCTCGTTGGCCTGGAACTTACCAATTAGGTCAGGCTGACTAGCCAATGAGCTCCAGGGATCTTTGCCTCCCGTCTTTTTAAGGCAGGATCTCAGGATCAAACTTGGGCCTTTATGCTTGCTATCTCCCCAATGCCTGCCCTATGTGTTCAACCCCCCACAGCAATACATCACTGCCTCAGTGCTGTCACAGAGGGTTCCCCACCATGCTACCAGCTGAACCCGTCATAGGAGCTCTGAGGTAGATGTAGTTACTAGGAGAAGTACTCTTCACACAGGGTAACGTTGCTGCCTCATCTGTCAGTTCTACAAGTGTAATCTAAGAAGTTAAGAACATAAAAATAGAGCTGGGCATTGGTGGCTCCCAGCACTCGGGAGGCAGAGGCAGGCAGAGGCAGGCAGATCTCTGAGTTCAAGGCCAGCCTGATCTAAATAAACACGTATATTTAACTTGCAATGCCTACAAGCCAAAGCATTTCTGATCTAGCAGCTGGAGTTTGGCTCGTAAGAGATCTTTAAGTCAGCCGTTATTCCTTGATCATAGCCCAAATCCTGAAACACAGAGATGGGTCCTTTTCATTCACGTAAAACCCCTCTGTTTACCTCATGAACTAAAGGCATTTGTCAGCAAACAAGGTCACCAGAATGGTTGCATCAAGGCTGTACTCACCCATTAGTATTATAAAACCCAAACTAACGCACAAAGCACACTACTGAGTTTTAGTTATAAAGTATATGTCAACAGCAGCTGAAATTTTGGACAACTCCAGTTCACACAATAACAGCTCAAGCTCTACAAAGAGAACATCTAAAAATGCTTACTCTGGGGGCAAGACATGGTTCAATGGTTAAGAGCACTGGCTGCTCTTGCCGAGGGCCTGGGTTCAGGTGGAACAGCCATATGTTGGCTCATAACCATCTATAACTCTAGTTCTGGGGAATCTGACACCCTCTTCTGGCATCTACATATAATAGTCACATACACAGTACACAGACATGCATGCAGGTAAAACACCCATACACACAATTTTTAAAAAATAATAAAAATTTTAATGTTTACTTTTCCTAGAATGGAAGTAAATATTTTTTTTATTCTCAGCTAACTTGTCAAGGGGACCTCGGTATACATTTAGCTTCATCTTTAACTTTACAATGTTTATAAGGAATATTCTTCAGTGTTCTCATATCTATATGTATTATTAATAAAATTACACCATTAAGCATGCATATTAACTGGGAAAACACCAAGTGCAGGAAGAATCTGGAAAAGAACTGGACCACAAGGATGGAAGATGTGGGTGGCTCTTTCCAGAAAGCTTTATACACTTTTAATGTTGGGACTGCTTAGATTAAGTCTGTAATTCCAGAAAGGGGGGTGGCTGTGTATATTGGTGGACAATGTATTAATAGCTCATTGGTAGAGAGCTTGCTCAGCACCTGGGTAACCTTAAACTCAGTCCCCAGTACCACAACTGTCCCTGCCATATTCCAGGAAAGGAGCGCGACTCTCCATCCCTCTTCTGTCACCACGTTAAAAAAAAAATGCTTCTTATTTGTTGGTGCCATGCTTAGATTAATCGTATTGGTTCTGGCACATAGCCAGGTTTTTTTTCCACTAGCACGTGACTCAGATGAGACAGTGGAGAACTCCTGGGTTGAGTGCAGAGGAATCTTAGCTAACATAATGCTGGTGGGCCCGCATAACCCAGTCCTTCCTTGATGGTAATACAGGCTGCAGGTGGACTGTATTTCAGACTTCAACTTCAGCACCTGCCTCTTCAAGAGGCCCCCGCAGATTCCCCTCGCCCCAGCCTGCCCCACACACACCCATTCGGCCCACCTGGCCCATCGTGCAAGGCCGCTGTGAGCACAATAACTTACGTTTGGTGCATCTCTGAGAACCGGGAGCCTTACTCCAGCCCTGGCAGCACTGCCCTCCACAGACATTGATTCTGAAACGAAACGAGACCCCTGAGTCCCGCGATGCTCCCTTCCCAAGAACTCAAGCTTTCAGAGTGTTCCGGAAACGCCAGTCCCTAGCTTCCACAGTTCTCTGGAGCAGAGAGAGCTGGAGGAGTACTCAGGATGCCCAAGCCAAAGCTGCCCAAGTGGAAAGGTAAGGGACCACTGGCCTGCGAAGGATGGACGAGCCAAAGCGTACTGCATACCAAGGACAGGAATAAAAACTCAACTAATGGTTGTCTTAACCCCCAAATTAAGTCAAATGTAGTCTGCATATTCTCTGGGTCCACTTGGCTTCAGAGAGAAGCACGCCGCTCCTCCCCCCCCCCCCCCGCTGGAAAAAAAAGTGAGACCACCCCCAGGGGATCCAGCCCTGCAGGGGGAGAAAAGTCAAATGTCCAAATTAAGTCGCCCCCACCCCTACTCGTGATTGATGGGAAGAAAGCAGTGGGGGTACCGAATCTCAAACCTTCCAAGCCCCCACTGCTGTTCACGCCAAGACTATCTCTAACCCCAACCGTAGGACCGCCGACCCCACAGGTGCCAGGAAACCCAAGTCTTCAATTTCCTGGATGTCCAAGCCAACTTTCACTCACAATCCCTTTTTCATTAGGTAAACCAAAATAAAAACCGAGTTGCAAGAAGTTTAATTGATGCCTTGGGATTAAGCTCTAGTGACTTCATGTTTACACCCTTAGTCTAGCAGCAGAAGGGTTACGCACAGGAGGTTACGCCCCGGGGAAGAAATAAATGCCTTTTGTGTTTCCCCCGCAGCTCCGAAACAATGCACTCGGAGTTAAACGCCTGTAAAAGTGAGCAGGCTTTCCCCGCTCTCGCCCCTTCCCGCAGCGCCCCCGGTGGGGAGGAGACAGTCCCCGAGTCCCCGCGGGTCCCCGAGCGCGAGGCGGGCAGAGCGTGGGCTTACCCCTGCAGCTGCTGCTTCTGCTGAACCTGCAGCCTGGAGCCCCCGGCGCTCTGGGTGTCCTGCTGCACTTTGGAGCGCACGACTTGCCTGCCATGTTTGGCGAAGCGGTTGACCACGGGCTGAGCACCGGCCTTAGAGTGGAACTGGCGGCCCGGCGCCCCCGGACGCGCGGGCTCGGGTGGCAGCGGTGATCGCAGCCCAGGCAGGGCCGCGCCGCCAGGCTGGCTGGTGCGCCGGGTCCGCTCGGCTGGGGGCCCGGCCAAGGAGCGGCTGGAGGTGGCCGATGAGCTGCGGCTGTACCTGGCGTCCAGCGCGACGTTGAAGGTCCGTGGGGGCCCAGCCAGAGGCAAGGCTCCGGCCGCCAGCCCCGGGCCCGGGCGCACCACGTACGTGATCCTCCGCACCCGGCCGTGCGCAGACCACGCTAGCAGTCCTGCCCAGAGCAGGAGTCCCCACCTGAGCCAGGCTCCCGCCATCGCGGGCAGTCTCCGGCCGCGCGGCTAGCCCTGCCCCGGCGCGCTCGCTCGGTATCCCCAGGGACTCCGAGGAGAGCCGGGGCGCAGCGGGGTGGAGGCCGACTGGGTGGCCGCAGTGGAGGGAGCTTTGCCGGCGACTGAACGGCAGCGGACCCCAGCCGGCAGCGGTGGCGAGCAGGGGGCGGGAGCTGGGGTGGAGAGTAGGGGAGGGGCGCGGGCTGCGCAAGGTGAGGGTCCCCTGGTTCGGCAGGGGTGTCGCGGGGTGCAGCCGGGGTGCCACAGGCGCCGACCCGTGAAGTGGGGAGAGGACGCTCGTGAGCGCTGGACGCTCGGAGGCAGCCCCGGCTGCAAAGTCTTTTAAAAGTTTCTTCTCCCCGGTGGAGCCGTGTGTCAGATCTGAACAGCCAATCTGCGGCAGACGTGACGTCAGGAAGCAAATCCTAATTGGGGAAAGCTTGAGAAGAGCCGGAGAACTAGCCACCACCCTCCGCATCCAGGGATTGGGGCTATGGGTCGGGTGGACTGAGGTCCCTGCTCCCCGAGGCCTCGGTCCCCAATCCCAGGAGAAGACAAAGGACTCGGCAAGGTAGCTGAACCGCCCTTTCCTAGCAGCCTATAGATTCTGGCTACACAGCTGGAAGCTCAAGCACTTTCTTACCCGAGTTTGCTCGGATACTGTCGGCAGGAGTTGGATTAAAACACTAGATCGGGCCCCCAGAAAAGGCTATCCGAAGTAGGCTGAGCTGTCCATTGGAATGTGATTAGAGTTGTTAGACCAAAGGATGGTTCTCTTTAGGATGATTCCGGGTGACTTGGTGGTACCCTGATTCTGGCATTGGAGGATCGAGAATGCAGGGAGGGCAGCAGGGGGCGCCAGTGTAGATGAAGAAAACGGCAGAGGCTGCCCTGGTCCTTGTAGAGTGGAACATTTAGTTGTGTCTGTGTGTGTGTCTGTGTCTGTGTGTCTGTGTGTGTGGTTGGGGGTGTGAAAGGGAGTTTTGGAGAAAACCAGGAAATGACATCTTTACTGCTAACATCTGAATTAAAACAATGTTATCAACAGAATGCATGCTGTTGTTACATGCCTGAAATCGAAAGTCCATGATAATAGCTGTATATCAAAAAAAAAAAAAAGACAGGAGAAATAGCTCAGTGGTTAAGAGCACTGGCTGCTCTTTCAGAGGACCTGGATTGGATTCCTAGCACCCACTTGTTGGGTCACAACCATCTATAACTCCAGTTCCATGCGATTTGACACCCCCTTCTGACCTCTAGATGCCCATACACATATGCAGACAAAAATTTTAAAACATAAACTAAGAAGGGTCTTTTCCCAGGTTTTGGTTTTCTTTTGTATTAATAATTTTGACTGTCTTTAACTTTGCTGACTTTCCATACATCAGCTTGGAGCAACTGGTAGCAAGTGAGAATGGTTTAAGAAATATTGATAATGGAAATAATCATGTCAAGTTGAGGAATCCCTTGACCTGCTTTTCTCTGTGCCCTGCAAAAAATGCTGGCAAGTGTTTGATTTGAGAAGACTGGGCCTCAAGGCCAGCTGCCTCAACACCCATTCCTTCAAGAGCACTGCCTTAGAGACACTGTCATCCAAGAAACAGACCTGGGCCCTGGCATTTTCCACCTCTACCCTCAGGAACCCTGCTTCCTCGACACATGCCAACTGGTTAAAAAGTCCCTTCCAACCCTACCAGTCTGTCCCTCTGTGCGGGGTAATTCTAATTCAGCCCCAGAGCCAGGTCAAAGTGAACCATTGCCAGGAAGGGGGTCAAGACGCTGTCTCACGTCTGCACCTTCAAGACTAGGGAACAAATGCCTGCCAGCCGCCTGCTAAGTCAAAGGCATACAGATACACAGCATCCTTGTATCTATCTGGAGCTACAAAGTATCCCAAGGCACAAAGCCTTTGTGTCTGGTTGGGGAAACAAGATCTAAATAAAGCATTAGATGAAGATAAACAAACTGAATTAAGTAATGCTTAAAGAAAAATAACAGAAACCTCACAAGGCAGGATTTGATTTTCACAGTCCTACATCACAGAATAGTCGATAATTCTTTGTCATCTTGTGGACAGTTCACAAAAAAAAAAAGTTTCCTAGCTGTAATTGAAACCTGTCCATGAAGACTTTGGGTGTCCTGTAGGGCTTTTCTAGGCAGTTGGTTGCGGTGGACAGGCACTAGGAAGGAAGTGTGAGTAAGGCTGAGAGCATTTCGATAAGGGAGGCCATGTCGTGGGAAGTGAGGAAGACGGTAACTGAGGAAGCTCAGAAGTGACCCAGGACAGCATCGCAGCAAGAAGTCTTTAGCAGTCTTCAGTAGTGAATGGGTCTTTCTGGCAAGTGTCTCCTAGGACCAGGATGGATGGATGGCATATGCAAATGCTGCTTCCGGGAAAGGAGAAGCAGTTGCCTGCAGAGGTGACAGCTGGAAGCAGAGTTTGAGCCAGACATTCTACCTGTCTGGATTTCAGTTTCTAGATAGTGTGGGACTCTGCTTGGAATTGCTGTATTTGCAATGAGACTGGCTTTTACTCTGCTCTATGGCTCCACAGGAAAGTGTTTCCTGGGGAGATAGCTCAGAAGGCAAGAGCACCCACTGTTCAACCACAAGGACCTGAGTTCAAATCCCCTGCACTCACGCAAAAGCAGATCATGGTCACAGAGCTTACAACCCCAGCACTGTGGAGGAGGGGGAAGGAAAAAAGAGGAATGCTGAGACTTGCTGGCCTTCAGCCTGGCTCCAGGTTCAGTGAGAGAACCTGTCTTCCTCTGGTCTGTGAACAAATATAAAAAATACACAACACACACAGAAAACACACACACACACACACACACACACACACACACCACTTACATATACCATGCACACACCAAAAAGAAAAGAAGAAAAAATTACAAACGTTTTCTACCATTGAAAATATCCAATGCCATCTTCCTTTCTCTTGACACAGTGGGGGGAGGGATTTCTGATGCATCTTCATTCAATTTATAACCTCCCACGTAAGTAATCTCTAGGGAATGTTCACACCATCCCTAGGAGCCCATACACATGCTAGAGCATATGTGTGTCTACATGACCATGAATATACAAATGTATACATGAGCAAGCAGCCTCACTCAGGGGCTTCTGGCTAATGCCAGCGAAGTCACAGTTTTCCATACACGTTTCTTGTTATTTACATAACTAGCAAGATAATCCTTGAGAACTGCGCCACGTTCCCCATGTAATATCACACGAGATTCCTGCGCATCTCAGACACGGAACACACTATTAATCCTGAAAGTGAAAGCCCAGTTTCTGTCAGACATTGAGATCAGCCTTTGCCAAGTCTCAACCAAGCTCAATGCCACAGACCCTGGACCCCAACCCCCTAGGTTCAAGGTCCATTTATGTTGGCAGTACACAGCTTCCTTGTTCAAAAACCAAGCCTTTACAGATCTCATAAAATGTCTTGGACTTCAGATGGTTTTCAGAAAACAATACTCAGATGAGCTAAGTGTAAATGAATCAGAAGAGAGGGTCGTGTTTCCCATTAAAGCCCATGGGTTTGAAGATTAGGGAAGAAAGAGAGGCTGGCAAACTGCAAGCATTTCAAAGCACTCTGAGACCATTAGTCAAACTCAGAAAGCAGCCAGGTTCCCTCGTCTCCTCACTTTATGAGTTCTGTAACTGAAAATCTTTTCCTACATTTAGGATTAGCAACAAATCAAATTTGTGGATGCCTGTGATAAAAAAAAAATGCTTCCACACGTGTTTTCTCCAGCTAAGGGTTTCATGAAGACCCCCAACTCGGCCCTTTGTAGCTTCATCAAGAAATTCCTAGAAAGAGAAAAGGAGAGGCAAAGGGACAGCTGTTAAAGTCTGTACTCAAGGTGAAGAGAGAGGTCAAGGGACAGGGAAGGGGAGTGTGACACCACAATTTGCATGAGTATTGCAAAGGCTCATGTCTTAAAGGCCTTGTCTCCAGAGTGGTGTTGCAGGGAGCTGATGGAACCTTCAACAGAACTTGGGGAAAGTCTACATGTCATTGCGGGTGTGCCTTCAAGAGGGATTATGGGACCATGATCTGTCTACTTCCTGAGCCACCAGGTGAGAAATTTGTTCTGTCGAAAACTCCTACCCTGATGTGCTGTCTCAGGAGAGACCAAAAGAAATCATGGCCCAAGACTTACAAATCCAGAAACTAAACAAGTCTTTCACTTGTAAGTTTATTATCCAAGGGATTTCGTTAGAACAACAGAGCAGAGCTGAGTAGCACAAGAGAGGAAGAGATGGTTTGACAGGAAAAGATATGTAGCAGAGGAACGGGCAGAGGGAGCAGTGAAGATAGGACTCATTGCAGTGAACATTTGCAAGTACAGCTGTTTGGGCAAAAGAGTGTACTGTGTGACACACCACGCCTTCCAGCACCACTGGTGATGAGGGACTATGTGACGGGGAGGTGAGCAAGATGGAGAAGCAAAGTGGGTTTTGTTTCTGTTTTGTTTTTTTCTTTTATTTTTTGGGGGAGGCTATGGGGTGGAGGGTGGGCATGGAAGGACTGGGGGATGAGTGAGATTGGGGTGCATGATGTCAAACTTCCAAAGAATCCATTTTTTACAATGTTATATAAAAAGAAAGGAAGGATGATTCGACTCAACTTCTATTTTAAGTGCAGAACCTAAATACATATTATGGTACTGGATTGCAAGTCAATGCTGCGCCTGCAACCCCAAGTGCCTTTGTGTTGGGTGTGAGCGCCTGGCCATGACAGTCCTGGATCTTCTCTACAAAGAGTGTACAGCCAATATAGCAGGCAGACCAGTAGAGACACATGAGGCTAGCTTTGAAAAAAGACCCGGGGAAGGGGCAGCAGAGAAGTGGCTCAGGGATTAAGCTGCTCCTATGGAGGACCTACATTCAGTTCCCAGCACCCTTATGGCAGTTTAAAACCATGCATACTTCCAATTCCAAGGGATATACTGCCCTCTTCTGACCTCTGTGAGCACTGCATGCACACGGTGTGTTGAGGTACATGCAGGGAAAACATACACTTGACATAAAAATAAGTAAGTCTGCTAAACACTGAACTGAACTCCTGGAACCCAGCTGCAGAGAGGGAGGAGTGATGAGCAAAGGGGTCAAAACCAGGCTGGTGAAACCCACAGAAACAGCTGACATGAACAAGGGGGAGCTCATGGACCCCAGATTGATGGCTGAGAGGCCAGCATGGGACCGACCCAGACCCCCTGAATGTGGGTGTCAGTGAGGAGGCCTAGGCAATCTATGGTGACTCAGTATTTATCCCTGGTGTATGAATGAAC